TGTAATTAGGTTTGCACAAGGACAAAAAAACATTACAGTAGGTTATCCACCAAAGAAAATAAATACGAAATCATGTTAAAGCCTGGAAAAAAGATAACATATCATCGAGTGAGTACCATATCAATTTAAGTGAGAATGCATTTTATAGCAATGCCCCTATCACTCAGGAACACTGCAGATAGAGAAAGCCTACTCAAGCACAACAAACAAAACGAGCAAACAAGCTCACATTTTATATTCATGTGGCTCTAAAACTGTGTCCCATTATCAATGACCAGTCATAAGCTCCATCTGAGTTTCAGTTGGAGAAAAAAATGCCAAACAATTGTATCACATAAAACTAAGGGCATATACTAATAAAGACTAGTAGAACGTAGCAAATCTAAATATGTTAGTAATAAATTAATTTGGAAAGACAGTCACTAGAATAACACTCAGGGAGGAGAAAATGACAACAAAGATAGAAAAACATATATATAAATAAAATAATAAATTAGTCCTGAAAATGCATCGTAATACCAAACGGAGTTCAGCACCATGGACAGTGTACAAAGGACGGAAATTAAAGGTGCTCCTTTACAAGAGCAAAAAGGACAATCACGTCAGCAGGCAGACTTTAGTTTCAACATGTGATAAGGTTCCCAAAATACAAAATGACCAAAAGCTGAAATGTAAATCCGTCAGGGATAATAATACATTTTTAAGGGCACTGTTGAAGTGGATTTCATCAAAACCACCGAAAAGAACAAGGCAACCGAAGCAGTAATCAAGCAAATTGCGGAATGGCTTCGTCGGGACTATGAACGCCAGCTGAATAATCTAAAATGTATCCCTACCTCAGGAGAAGCATCACTATCTCCAAAGGCATCGGCAAAGTCTGATGGACTTTTCCTCAGAGTCTGGTCAGCAGGCAGTGTGTTGTCATTGTAAGATGACACGAACTTAAAGTCACTGGTTCTTGAACCTGTTGTCAGGTAGGCGTCATAATTGTAAGTGCTGCGTAAAGTTCCTGTGCCGTCAACATCTGCGTAATTAGGAGGAAGATAAGCGCTGGGGATGGCAACTGCTCCATCAAACAACAGTCTGGGCTTTCTCCTGCGACAAAACCTCACACCCAGGATGATGATGATGAAGGTCAGGAAAAACGTCGACACAGACACCAGCGCGATGATCAGATAAGACGTCAGTTTGGAATTCTTCTCATCATAAGAAATGTCCTTCAGTTCTGGCACCTCAGCCAAGTTATCAGAAATCAGTAAATACATGGAACAGGTGGCAGACAGAGAGGGCTGTCCGTTATCTTTCACTGACACAATCAGGTTCTGTTTCATGCTGTCAGACTCGGAAATGTCCCGCTGTGTCCTGATCTCTCCGCTGTGGACACCAATAGTGAAAAGGCCCGGATCTGTGGATTTCACTATATCATAGGACAGCCAGGCGTTCTGTCCGGAGTCCGCGTCCACCGCGATCACTTTGGACACCAGAGAGCCTCCGTGTGCAGCTTTGGGGACCAGCTCGGTCATGAAGGAGTTGCCCTCCGGCCCGGGGTACAGTATCTGAGGAGAGTTGTCATTCACATCCGATATGAACACACTGACGGTCACGTTGCTGCTCAGCGGAGGAGAACCGTTGTCTCTGCCCATCACGTGGACTTTAAAACTCCTCAACTGTTCATAATCAAACGACCTCACAGCGTGGATCACCCCCGTGTCTCCGTTAACAGACACATAGGACGACACCGGGGCACCGTTCACCTCACCGGGTAACAGAGAATAAATCACTGTACCGTTTTGTCTCCAGTCGGGGTCTCGAGCACTAACGGAACATAAAGTGGAGCCAGGTTTGTTATTTTCACTCACATATGCGCTGTACGACTGTTCCTCAAACACAGGTGGGTTGTCGTTGATGTCTGCTACAGATAACTCAACACTTTTAGAGGAGGACAGAGGTGGAGAGCCCTCGTCACTGGCAGTGATTGTAATGTTGTAATCAGACACTACTTCACGGTCCAGTTGTCCTGTGGTCACCAGAGAATAATAGTTTTTAATAGAAGGAACCAACTTAAAAGGGGCGTTTTGCTGAATGGAGCAGCGGACCTGTCTGTTATTCTCAGAGTCTCTATCCTGCACGTTAATGATGCCCACCTCTGTACCAGGTGACACATTCTCAGGTATGGGGTTAGTCAGTGATTTCAGATATATAACTGGGGCGTTGTCATTTATATCCGTAATATCAATTATTACTGTTGCATATGACGCCAATCCAAGACCATCCTTTGCACTAATCTGCATTTCATATGACGATTCTTTTTCATAATCAATAGATCCAGACACTTTAATTTCACCCGTTTTGGGGTTCAGAGAGAAAACTTGGTTTTCATCTGAAACATGGTCAAAACCGTAGGTAACGTCACCATACATTCCCTCATCTGCATCAGTAGCACTCACTGCAAGTACAACAGTATCTACAGGAGAGTTTTCAGGCAGACTGGCTTTATAAACGGCCTGGCTGAACACTGGTACATTATCATTAGCATCCAGCACAATGACGTGTATGACTACAGTACCTGATCTCTGAGGAGAGCCACCATCAAATGCGGTAAGCAATAACAAAATCTCTTTTTTGTCCTCTCTGTCTAATTCTCTGTCTAACACTAACTCGCAGTGCTTCCGTCCGCCGGATTTCATGTTTACATTTAATTTGAAATGATCATTCTGCTGTAGTGAGTAGCCCTGAACAGCATTTTCTCCGATGTCTCCATCGTGTGCCTCTCCCAGAAGAAAACGAGCACCCTTGACTGCCGATTCCCGAATTTCAATTTTAACTGAATCCTCTTTAAACTGAGGTGAATTGTCGTTAATATCTTGAACTCGGATACTAATACGGTGCAGCTCTAACGGATTTTCCAGCACGAGTTCCTGTTTTACAACACATGATGCCCTTTTCGCACAAAGCCCCTCTCTGTCAATCCTTTCTTGTACGATCAGGTCTCCGGTGTTGAGATTTATACTGCAGAACTGGACGTTGTTATCCTCAGTATCGATACGGGCCTTGCGAGCAGACAGTCGGCCCACATCAAGTCCCAGATCCTTAGCGATATTTCCAATTACAGATCCACGTTTCATCTCCTCCGGAATAGAGTAGCTCACGTCTCCACAGACGGGGTGGAGGACAAGAAAAATAAAAGCAAGGCCGCAGATCAGCGCGAATATGCTGCATCCCATTGTTGCTGCACGACAGACCACGAGTGCTATATGAAATGTGTTATATCCTTGATATCCTCCAGTATAGAGTATATATATTTTAGAAAAAAAACAACACTCCACGGTCATACCACGAAGCGGTTTTGTAATATGCGATACAACAGCAGAATCAGGCTTTAAATTCGATGAGACAGAAGGGTGGAGAGTGACTGAACCCTCTCGTTTACTAGTGCACACTGACACCATGAGTATTTGTCTGGGTATAACATGGGGATGTAGTATTTTTGACAGGCTTAAGTATGACTCTTTCAGAGAAGCTCAGTAGTCAAAATAACAACACAAACAACAAAATCATAAAAGTACGAATAAAAATAGCTCCACCATTTTAGTTTTAAGCTCAGTATGATACAGGATGGCTTTGCCCCCCTTATTGTAAAAAAACAAACAAATAAAAAAGCACATCACAGAAAGTAGGGATCAACTATTCAAACTGGATCTCGGAAACAGTCCTGTGTTTTCAAATAGCTTTTGGTTTGTCAAAATAGAGACAGCAGACAAAGTGAGAGGGTGGACATTTATGTTAGATTTCCGTAGATGTTCCCTTTTATCTAAAATCTGTACATGCTGCGTGAAAAATTACAATGATGTTCAAAAAATGTTGTGTCCCTTCGTCACTGAAACAGTGGTCGTGCTTTTTGTTTGTTTGTTTATTCTCTCCCTTCCTGCAAAATCTTTCCAATTCCATCTTACTGGGTTAAAATAAGATCAAGACAAATATAAGAAAAAGTAGTTCAATTTGGACCTTGTGTAGTATTTGTGCTGACATGCTTTTTATTTTGTATTGTTCAGATTGAAAGAATAAGTGAAAGAAATGATTTAAGAATCAATGAGATCAAACCTAAGAACCCTCATATTAAGCTACATACTGTTAATTGAAGCATTGTGTGTATCCAACCGTCACCAACAGTTGTATACACTGTGTTAACGCACTGCAGTGACACACAGAGCTATTCAGCTTATCAACTGTCCTAAAAGAATAGTCACAACTTAGAGGAAACAAAACATCAGATGCTTTCATTTACCCAAAGGAGAAACCAAAATATTGCTGTTGTTGTTTTTGTTGCTGTTGTTTTGTTGTTGTTGTTGTTTTATTGAGCATCAGTAACAGAAGGCACCTTTATTTTCAAGTAGAACTTTGCATCTGGCACTGTCCACTGAATTTACTCTGAATTTTGACATACTTTCACAAAGCTTTACCAACAGCTGAGACAAAGTCCAGATGAATAACACTGCCATTTCACTTTTTATGTCGCAGTCATAAAATGCACTTAATTAGACATTATTTCATTTTGACAGAATATTAAACTATTTCTGCCACTTTCTTTGTCAAATAGGTGATTGATATTCATTTGAATGGGGAGATGATTTTAAAACTTCTTCCCCTCTCTTATGGCACTTTTGTTTGCTCCATTATTCCTGGCAAGAAAAGTTCTATTCAAATGTGGTAAAAGTGGTTTAAAATACACCACCAAAAATGTATGACCCTAATAAGGCAAATGTTTTCATGTACAATTCCTTGAGAATAATAATATGTCAAAAGAACTTGGATTGTCAGAACAAGTCATCTTGTCACACCTTTGTAATTAGGTTTGCACAAGGACAAAAAAACATTACAGTAGGTTATCCACCAAAGAAAATAAATACGAAATCATGTTAAAGCCTGGAAAAAAGATAACATATCATCGAGTGAGTACCATATCAATTTAAGTGAGAATGCATTTTATAGCAATGCCCCTATCACTCAGGAACACTGCAGATAGAGAAAGCCTACTCAAGCACAACAAACAAAACGAGCAAACAAGCTCACATTTTATATTCATGTGGCTCTAAAACTGTGTCCCATTATCAATGACCAGTCATAAGCTCCATCTGAGTTTCAGTTGGAGAAAAAAATGCCAAACAATTGTATCACATAAAACTAAGGGCATATACTAATAAAGACTAGTAGAACGTAGCAAATCTAAATATGTTAGTAATAAATTAATTTGGAAAGACAGTCACTAGAATAACACTCAAGGAGGAGAAAATGACAACAAAGATAGAAAAACATATATATAAATAAAATAATAAATTAGTCCTGAAAATGCATCGTAATACCAAACGGAGTTCAGCACCATGGACAGTGTACAAAGGACGGAAATTAAAGGTGCTCCTTTACAAGAGCAAAAAGGACAATCACGTCAGCAGGCAGACTTTAGTTTCAACATGTGATAAGGTTCCCAAAATACAAAATGACCAAAAGCTGAAATGTAAATCCGTCAGGGATAATAATACATTTTTAAGGGCACTGTTGAAGTGGATTTCATCAAAACCACCGAAAAGAACAAGGCAACCGAAGCAGTAATCAAGCAAATTGCGGAATGGCTTCGTCGGGACTATGAACGCCAGCTGAATAATCTAAAATGTATCCCTACCTCAGGANCCAACAGTTGTATACACTGTGTTAACACACTGCAGTGACTCACAGAGCTATTCAGCATATCAACTGTCTTAAAAGAATAGTCACAACTTAGAGGAGACAAAGCATCAGATGCTTTCATCTACCCGAAGGAGCAACCAAAATATTGCTGTTGTTGTTGTTTTTGTTGCTGTTGTTTTGTTGTTGTTGTACTGAGCATCAATAACAGAAAACATCTTTTATTTTCAAGTAGAGCTTTGCATCTGGCACTGTTCACTAAATTTAGTCTACAGCTGAGACAAAGTCCAGATGAATAACACTGCCATTTCACTTTTTATGTTGCAGTCGTAAAATGCACTTGATGAGACATTATTTCATTTTGACAGAATATTAAACTTTTTCTGCCATTTTCTTTGTCAAAAAGGTGATTGATATTCATTTGAATGGGGAGATGATTTTAAAACTCCTTCCCCTCTCTTACTGGCACTTTTTGTTGCTCCGTTATTCCTGGCAAGAAAAGTTCTACTCAGATGTGGTAAAAGTGGTTTAAAATTCACCGCCAAAGATGTATGACCTTTATAAAGCAAATATTTTCATGTACAATTCCTTGAGTATAATAAATGTCAAAATACTTGGCAGAGATTGTCAGAGCAAGTCATCTTGTCACTCATTTGTAATTAAGTTTGCACAAGGACAACAAAACATGAGACAAGGTTATACACCAAAGAAAAATAAATATGAAATCATGTAAAAGCCCAGAAAAAAAGACAACATATCATCGAGTGAGTACCATATCAATTTAAGCGAGAATGCATTTAATAGCAATGCCTACATCACTCAATACCACTGCACAAAAAGGAAGCCTACTCAAGCACAACAAACAGAACAGACACGCACATTTTATATTCATGGGTCTCTAAAACTGTGTCCCATTATCAATAACCAGTCATAAGCTCCATCTGAGTATCAGTCCGAAAGAATGCCAAACAATTACATCACATAAAACTAAGGGCATATACTAATAAAGACTAGAATAATGTAGCAAATCTAAATATTTTAGTAAAGATTTAATTTGAAAAGAAATTCAAAGGAACAAAATTCAGGTAGGAGAAAATGACAACAAAAATAGAAATATAGTGTACATATA